TGCCAAAAATTTTTGTTTTTACGACTGATGAACTATCAGTCAACTGATGAGTTCATCAGTTGACTGATGAGGTCTTTAATCGACTGATGTGCTGTGAGTTGCCTGTAACAGTCAGCTCATCAGTCGACTGACGAACAGTATCAGTTGACTAACGCCTGTAATGGCTAGTTTTTTCAGCATTGTTTTTTGTCTTTTAGCTGGGTTTTCTTGGTTTTTGGGCTTTGGTTTTCATCCTATAAATACCCCTTACTGTTTCACTTCTAAAGATTAACCAAGAAGTGTTTTAAACTAGTTTAAATGGGTGTTTAAAGATTGTGTAAGTGTTTGTTTACAAGTTTGGTTTGTGAAGATTGTTTCACAAGAAGAGGAGATCAACTTTGGTTTGATGTTTGTTTACAAGTTTGGTTTGTGAAGATTGTTTCACAAGAAGAGGAGATCAACTTTGGTTTGAGCTTTTAATTTCACATCTCCATCTCTCTTGTTCTATGTTTCACAAGAAGAGGAGATCAACTTTGGTTTGAGCTTTTAATTTCACATCTCCATCTCTCTTGTTCTAAAGAAGTTTTTCTAAACTCAATTCTAGCTTTGTATTTATTTTGTTTATTGTTTATCATTTCTATAAGCTGGGTTTTCATATTGAGTTTAGTTTGATTTTTAATCTTTGTTTACACACACAACCATTGAGCTTATAATATTTGCATACATTATACAATTTGGGTTATGATGGGTGTGACTTAGAGCGTAAACTTACATTATGTTCTCATATATTGTAGAGAACAAATTATTTGTATTTTGAGCTTTCATTTGTGAGGTCGTATTGTATTGCACAAATACACCAAAAGGAGTGTAGAGGTAAGAGACGTGGTCGGTTCCAAGAGGAGTGGGGTCGGTAGTAAAGCCTAGAAAGATGTGATAATTCCAAACACTTGATGAATGTGACACGTGAGAGTCCAACACTTGAGGTGGTATTTGTGTAGTTACAAGTGTGAGTTGTAAACGTTTGTCAGTGAGCGTAGAAAATCGAATTGTAAGGTGTAAATGTTTTTGGGTGAACATCGAAAACCCATTATGATAGTGGATTCTCCTCGAGAGTGGGGAGCGGAGACGTAGGTCGGAAGGACCGAACTCCGTGATCATTTTCTTGTGTTTGAGTTTGGCTTTAGTGCATTTATTCTTGTATATTTTCATATCGCCATTGTGTATTGTTCATTGTTTATATTGCCCTATCACATTTGCATCTTGTTTATTTCACCCTTGTTTATATTGCTTATCCTTGCATATATATCTTGTTGCATATCATTTTTGCTAAGATATTTGTTAATTAGTTTTAAATTTGCATTAATATCGGATTAGATTAGCATTCATCCTATTCACCCCTCTTCTAGGGTGCTTTAACTTTTTTCTTTAAAAATTATTTTTATATTACTAAATTGGAGACTTTTTATATTTTTCTCTAAAAAATATTTTAGTTATTTATCATTACATGTTGAGAGGGATACAATGAGAAAACTTGAAAATGTCGACATATTTTTTATAACTTGAGAGATTTTAGATATGAGGGACTAATAACAAATTACTAACAATTTAAGGGACTAATATAAAAAACTCATGTTTGTATTAATATACTTATTAATATAAATAATTTATTATAAATGTAATACATATTTACTTTTGTTGCAAAAGTTATTCTGCAAATGATGATCGTAATAAATTTCTAAATTCTAATATTCTTTCTTTTTTAGTTGTTTCATCAAATCTCATAATACTTTTTTGCTATTCTGATTCATTCCATTTGATCAAAATTTGTGAAGTTCTAGATTATTTTTATAAATTAATGAAAACTTTGGGGTCTTTTATTTAAATTTGAGGGTTATTTCTTCTATTTTTTTTAAATTTCTAGTGTTTTATTGAATTAGGAAATTTCTATAAACATTTAAAATACTTGTAAATCTAGATTTTTCCACAAATTTTGTAAAATCTATTTTTTTCTATTTGTAAAATCTAGGATTTTCTCTTCAAATATTTTAATATTCATAAGTTCTGTGGGTGTTGGTAAATTTTGTAAACCTCTTCACAAAGTATATAAAATTCCTAGTTAAATGTTCTAACACTATTAGATTATCTTAGTGGGTTTCATAATTGAAAGTGTTTTATAATGTTTAGATAATTAATATCTTTCATGGGGTATCGTGAGTGAAGAGATTTAATTGGTGAATTGTAGAGTCAAAGATCTTTACTTGTTACTAACATATAATTAACATTTGTCTTCTTAATTACGAAGATAATTTAGGAGGTGAGAATAATTCATAATCTCATCTGATTATCTTTATCTTTATTTTTAATTTTAAATATAAAGAAACAATAGATACAGACTTTTATATTTTACTTGTTAAGTACTAAATTTAAATATTTAGATGATTGTATTTTTAAATTTGTATATATTTTCTCTACTAAATAATTTCTTAAGCTTTGAAATTTTCTATCTTGTAATTTCTTTAGAAATGGTTGAACATGGAGATTTAAAAACTATTTGTATCTTATTAAATATTTTTCAATTAATTAGAAACATGATCAAAATAAAATCACATTAAATATATTTCTATAAGGATACTTTAAATTGCAAGGAAATATTTTAGATTTTGTGCAAAATTTTTAAAATATATAATTTTCTATAAATTTTGTTAAATTTAGGATCTTTCTGCAAAAATTTTTATATTTTGAATTATTATGGGTTTCAGGTCAAAATATACAATCTTTTCTACTAAATATGTAGGTTATTTTTTTAAATATTGAAATTGTTTCTTTTGGGTATTTCTATGAGTTGTGCGAATTGTATGAATTTTGAAAAAAATTTCGCTCATGCAAAATTAACATTTATCTTCTTAATTATACAAATAATGTAGGAGGTGAGAATATTTCATAATATCATATATTATTTTTATTTTTAAAATTAAATATAAGGAAGCGAATTATAAGATAAAGGTTTATTTTTTCAATTTGTTAGTTCCAGATTCAAATATTTAGATTGTCAAAATTTTAAATTGTTATCAATTTACCTAGTAAATAAATTTTGTAAGATCTGAGATTTTCTATATTGTATTTTTTGTAGAACCAACTGAACGTGGAGCTTGAACAAATAGTCATAGCTTAATATAATTTTTAACATATATAAATCAAATCTGAGCTTATATGCATGTTAATTAGGATAGAATAGGATAATTGAAGCTTATACCTATTTATTAAAATTAATTATGATAGGATATATAATAATAATGTAATATCTAAATTGGTTAAGAGTATTTTTATCCAAAAAAAATTTCTCCCAAACTCCCAACTTTAAAGGGAGTATGATATGATATGATTATGTTTGTTGTCTTAGTATTGACGGGAGCGGGTGTGCAATTGATGGCCATTTTAATGACTTAGAGACCAATGGATGTAATAAGCGTACCAATTTACCAGGTTGTAATAAGTGTATTATTTTACTTGTACTTCTGACCTTTTCTGTCTGAAATTGTGCTAATACACTTGCAGTGTATGATTTGCCAAAAAGCAAAATGCAAACCATCTTACTCTGATCTGTTTTTGTGAAAATCATCTGTCGGCTTACTGAGTTTATGCTATATTATATAAACAACAGCCGGTTCTAACTAACAACTCTGCTCTTGTCTACTTATCTTAGTTTACCATTAACTAAATGTTACATGGATTGGCTAATTTTCTTGTGGGTTACACACTTTCATAATGGAGGATTTTTTAAGTAGATAATTATCGTAATTTACTTAGCAAAATCAAAGTTTTTTATTTAGCAAAATTGACAACTTTTCAATCACATCGGTATGGCTAACCGAAAAGTAGTCGATTTTACAAAATACAGATTCTAAAAGAACACGGGTGCTAGCAGGCCCGTGTAATTAACAGCTAATTTGAGTCTTAACATCCG